AGGAACAGAGCAGAAGGCAGACATATTGACAAAGGCACTCGGTAGGATTAAGCACAAAGAAATGAGAGAGCTTGTGGGAATTCAAGATATAGCTAACTTCAAGTTTAAGAGGGAGAATGTTGAAAGTAAACTTGAAGTTAACTTGGAAACCAAGAAATACTAATCCTATTGAGAATAGGATTAGGAATAAAAGAGATAACGTTTGATGAGTGAATTTAGAAGAATCTAGGATCTATATATATATGGAGATATCAACTTGTGATATAACATAAGAGTTTGTGTGAGAGATCCTTTTGTGAGAGCTTGAGTTTTGAGATATTTTCTTAAGCTATTAATAAGATTTGAGTTAGTCTTAATTGTGATCTTGAAAGTTCTACGTTAGGTTTCAAACAATACATAATACCATGATCCAACATATTGGTATAAAAACACAACAACCACCTAAATTTGAGTATTTTTTAAACCGAATCTCATTTGACTCTTCAGTCTATTGGTGTACCCTAGCTATTGAAAGCTACTTGTGTGAAGAACTCATAGGTAGACTTATCAAAGCATGTATCTATTGAGGAATTTGTTACATGCGTTGACTGACTTGAACCCCGGACTCGCACTATAAATAGGCGCACAATGGTACGATTCAAACATATAAAAAAACTCAAAGTATAATAGAAAAGTACATATTATAACGTCTTCTTTATTATTTCATGCGAATGTCTGGGGTTAGGATGTTAGCATCATCACCAATGTTGATGTTTCTTCTCAGCCTTCTAGTGGCTTCCTTCTTCGACATCACAGGTTTAGTCATCTCTTTTAAGTCTATGTAGCATCCATTAATCATCTTCTATAACCAAATATTGATTAAATTATATTGAATGACGATTTTATATATTACTAGCTGGACAAATCGGAGTATGCTACGGGGAGAATGGAAATAGCCTACCAAGTAATTCGGACGTTGTGGCTATGTACAAGCAGTACAACATCCAGCGAATGAGGATGTACGGTCCCAACCCTAACGCTCTCGACGCTCTCCGTGGCTCCAACATCGAGCTCATCCTCGACGTTCCCAATGGCGACTTAGGACGTATCGCCTCCAGCCAAACGGAGGCCGACACATGGGTCCGAGACAACGTCCAGAAGTACAACGATGTCAGATTCAAGTACATCTCGGTCGGAAACGAGGTGCAACCAGGGGACCAGGGGACGGCTCTCTTCCAGGCGATCCAGAACATCGATAAAGCGGTTTCTGACGCAGGCCTCAGTATCCCTGTCTCCACGGCTACATACATGGGAGCCTTCACAGACACGTTTCCTCCGTCCCACGGAAGATTCAAGGATGAGTTTAGGAACTTTCTCCAACCGGTGATAGGTTTCTTGGTGAGCAAGCGATCTCCTCTGCTAGTGAATATCTACACTTTCTTCGGTTACAAGGACAGCAACGGAGATATCCCTCTAGAATACGCGTTGTTCACACAAACGAGCGGTGGAAACCCTGATAACCAGTACACTTACCGAAACCTCTTTGACGCCAATATTGACTCAGTTTACGCGGCACTGGAGAAAACGGATGGCGGATCATTGGATGTCGTGGTGTCGGAGAGCGGTTGGCCCACGCAGGGAGGGCTCGGGGCGAGTGTGGAGAATGCGAAGACTTACGTTAACAATTTGGTACAACATGTGAAGAATGGATCTCCGAAAAGGCAAGGGAAAGCTATAGAGACTTACATATTCGCCATGTTCAATGAGGATAAGAAGGGGCCTCAGGAGTATGAGAAGTACTGGGGGCTGTTTTTACCTAATAAACAGCCTCAGTATGATGTTAATTTCAACTAATCTCCTTGGTGAGACTTCTTGAAGAAGCATGGGCTAGTAGTAAGGCAGTGATGTGATAAATGGTATTTGTCTATTTGAGCGTTTTTATTGTATGAGTATGATGTTAATTTCAACTAATCTCCTTAGCCGATGTTTTTACTTATCTGTTTCAGTAATGTAATGAGAGTTATTTTAAATTCTTCAATATATATGAAGCTGTTCTTTCACAGTAAACAAAAACTTTTAAATATTTTGCTGAAACATTTAGACATTTGACACAAGCCTAATAGCAAAGCCATCATCAACACGGCGTCTATTTTTGTCGTCCAAAACTGAAATCGACGGCACGAAGAAAGTTCTTCGGCTACTAACTAGGACAACTACACAATGCTTATACTGTTCTAAGTAAGACATGTCACATGTCCCTTCATGGTTGGAATCTTCAGTACCAAACTCAATCTTAACTTGTGGTCTGAGTTTTAAACTATTTAAAAAAAAAAATTATTTCATCATCTGAACTGACTTTCTTGACTGCCATGAGGTAGCAACGAGCCCACGACTTGATATTCAGAACATAAGGTAATATACATGTATAAGAATATTCATTAATATTTTCATAACAAAAAGAAATATTCATTAATACATGAGGTTATGAATAATATATGTATAGGAATAGTCTCTTAAATGCTTGGTTATCCAGTATTAGGACTGAGACTTTTATCCGGGATCCGGATTCCATCCGAAATCCGTTCCGAAATTAGGATATATGGTGGTGTTCGGATCCAAATCCAGATAGTAAAATCTTGGATCTGTGCAAACCGAATCCAGATCTGGATATCTTAATTTTTAGGTTTGGATATCCAGATTCGGATTCGTATTTTAAAAAATATACTAAATTTTTTATTTTATTATTAACTATATCTGATATATTAATATTTATACATAAAATACGTTTAATAATATTCTACTTTATATTAATAATATTATGTCATATATATTCATAAATTATGCTTAAATATTTAGTTTATGTATTATTTTTAGAATTTTGATTTTTTTTTTAATTTTAATTATTTTTACGGATCCGAATCCGGATACCCGTGGATATCATAATATCTAGACGGATATTCGGAGCCCGGATATCCGGAAGACACAAATCCAAATCTGGATACTAAAATCACGGATCCGACGAATCCGGATCCGGATCCAGATACTTCAAATTTCCTGGATATCCGGATCCGCGCCACCCTATCCAATGTCCACTACATTTTTATTTGCCAATTCACTAAATTCTTTACAAACTTTTTTGAGTATGAAATGCCAAATTCAACTATTACAGAAACACACATGCTATAATGTTTCCTCTATAGAAAAGGGTCAGAGCTGTCGTTAACGTTTTTTTTTTGGTAAAAATGTCGTCGTTAAACCACCTGTCGTTAACGTTTTATAACAAAATCTTAACTTTTAGTACTACTAGATGCATAGTCCCCGCGCAAGCGCGGAGGTTGGATACGTTGTTGATGTGTTGTGTAGTTTTGTGTATGAGACTTTGATGTTTTTTTAAAACATTTGTTTATCTGGCTTATCTATAATGGTGATGAATGAAACATTAGAAGTCACACAACTTGATTAGTCTCATAAAAGAATAAACATCGAATTCATATAGGTTGATATTTTCATATTTTATCTTCGTAGTGATTTTATCGAGCATTTCCTTTATTAGTGATTTTATCGAGCATTAGTGTTATTAGTACTTTCATATAAAAAAATAATTTAATAGAGACAAGACAAAAAAGGACATGTGTTTATTAGTGTAATTTTCTTTCTGAAATTATGTTGTATATATATATATATATATTTTTAATTGTGATGTATATAAGATTTATGGCCGATCTGAATGGTCCGGGGTAAATATTTATTATTGAAAAATATGTTTTTATTTTATTTTACGTTATAACTGAATTGAAATGATATTGGAGGTTAGAACATGATAACCTTTCTTATAAAAATATCTAAGATGGTCTCATAAAGTTTTAAATGATATTGGAGGTTAGAACATGATAACCTTTTTTGTATCCCAACAACCAGCATACAAAATCATTCTGAATCTCCCTAATCTTTTAGGTATCCCGAAAAACCCAAATTTTTTTAAAAAAAATTACATGCAAACACTGCGTTTCGAATCCGCGCACTCGCGGTACCAATTTCTCGTCACCAATTTACACCACCGGGCCATTTTATCACTCATCAATAACATTCAATCTTACAAAACTAATGTTATAAGTTTTTGTTCTCCCTAGTAACACGCACGGGACCCGCAAACTTGTTGAGGTAGATAGGCTTAGAAGTTTTAAAAGTGTATCATTATAATATAGATTATTTAAAACTCGATCAAGAAAATGGGCGATTTTTCTTTCTGCAAGAGGACTCATGAAGAGACAAATGTCTTTCTCGCAGTCCCACTGTATTCAGTGTCACCGTATCAACTACTAGTTAATAATTTAATATACCACACGTAATTATCCTTATGGCTTATTCGGTAAATCTCCATAATGCTCATTTGGGCATTAGTCCATGTTATACTTATGGCTTATTCGGTAAATCTCCATAATGCTCATTTGGGTATTAGTCCATGTTATACCCTAAAACTTGCTATATATATGTTTGTATATGCATGTTAAAGACCAACGTAATATACCAGAGCTGGTTCTAGTTACATCCTGATGAAACATCCGTTTTGTCTTCCAAAAATTAAACAACTGAATTGCTTCAATGGAAATGTTGAAACATAAATGGATATATTTGTGTTGAAAGTATTCATCATTTTGAATCAAGAAGACTACAGAGAATGAAATGTTTTATTGTCAACCAAGTCTTATTTATTTTCAATGAATGATGAAAATGTGAAGCCGACTTCTGATGTTGAGAAATTTAGGAGATTCTTTCATCCTAACAAGCAGCCTAAATACGATTTTGGTACCAATTTAAGTGCCATGGGGGGAAGGCTATATTGTATACATTAATAAATATTAGATTTTCACCCGCGTTTTTTAATTTTTTATGATTAAAAATTTATATAATTGGGTTTTGTCTTAATTTAAAAAATATTTTGGTATAAAATTAGTTTACCAAAATTTATGGTGATAGTTGTTTTTCATTAGTTTTTAGTTTCAGTTTTTATTTTTAGATTTTATTTTAAATTTTGGTTTTTGGTTTTTAGTGTTTAAGTTTCTATTTTTGACTTTCAGCTTTTGGTTTGGGTTTTTAATTTTTAGACCCGCTGAGTTAGTTTGAACTGATATTACCAACAAACAAATCTCAATTAATCGAACATGTAATTTAAACTGAAAAGATGACAAAATGATTTTCTAAAAATTTTGAAATAGTTTCTTTTGTAAATAAAAAAAACAAAAAATATAACCTGCGTTTTTAGCTTTTGGTTTTGGATTTTAGTTTTTAGATTTGGCTTTTGGTTTTGCTTTACATTTTTTAAAAAATCTGTAAATTATTTAAGAAAAATAAAATAATAAATTATTTAAAAGTTACCATTAAAATTTATCAAGATAGAGTTATTGCTATTTAAATTAAAATATATTAACATGTTTTAAAGTAAATGATTTAAATAAGTGATTAATAATAGATAATTTTGTTTTGTTGAAAATATTAAATAAACACAATGAATAAATTAAGATGGAGAGGGTTGTAATGATTAATGAGTCTTTTATTTTTAATTTAAGACTGCAAGTTTTAAAACGTTGATGGTGTACAACGCCGTATCTAAGATTTTGGAGATTTAAAATATTTTTTAAAAAAAAGCTGAGTACATTTTTTATATAGTTAGAGATTTATGATCCAACCCATGAAGTTATAGATCAATTACAGTTTTTATCATGATCCAACCCATTGGTAGAAAAACACAACAATCACCTAAATTTGAGTAGATAAAAAACCTATTCATCCATCATTTGACTCTTCAGTCTCGGGGTATATTAACCCTAGCTATTGAAAACTACTTGTGTGGAGAACTCATACCAGTAGACTTTTCAAAGCATATACTGTATGTATGGAATTAAGGGCATTACATGCATTAACTGATTTGAACCCCGGGTTCGCACTATAAATTAGGCGCAAAATGGTACGATTCAAACATAACAAAAAAAAACTCAAAGTATAATAGAAAAAAATCCATATTATAAACTATAAAGTCTTGTTTGGTATTTCATGAAAATGTCTGGGGTTAGGATGTTAGCATCATCACCAATGTTGATGTTTCTTCTTACCTCTCTAATGGCCTCCTTCTTCGACACCACAGGTTTAGTCATCTTTTAAGCTTATGTTACGTACATCCATTGATCATCTCCTATGAAGTACCTAATTATATTATATTTAATTACATAATTTTATAGCTGGACAAATCGGAGTATGCTACGGGATGGTAGGGAATAACCTACCAAGACCTTCGGAAGTTGTGGCTATGTACAAACAGTACAACATCCAGCGAATGCGAATTTACGGTCCTAACTCCGACGCTCTCAACGCTCTCCGTGGCTCCAACATCGAGCTCATCCTCGACGTTCCCAATAGCGACCTAGGAGGTATCGCCTCCAGCCAAACGGAGGCCAACACATGGTCCAAAACCACGTCAAGAACTACGACGGTGTCAGATTCAAGTACATATCGGTTGGAAACGAGGTGATGCCCACGGGCCCAGGTGGGGCTGGGAGTGTTCTCATCCAGGCGATGCAGAACATTGATAGAGCGGTTTCCGAGGCTGGCCTCAGGATCCAAATTACCACGACTACATACATGGGAGCATTCACGGACACGTATCCCCCGTCGAGTGGAAGATTCAGGGATGAGTATAGGAACTTTCTCCAACCAGCTATACGTTTCTTGGTGAACAAGCGATCTCCTCTGCTCGTCAATATCTACACTTTCTTCGGTTACAAAGACAGCAGGGACATCTCTCTAGAATTCGCCCTGTTCAAACCAAACCCCGGATTCAAGGACCCACAAACCCAGCACTCTTACAACAACCTCTTCGACGCCAATCTCGACTCAGTTTACGCGGCATTGGATAAATTGGGCGGTGGATCTTTGGACATCGTGGTGTCGGAGAGCGGTTGGCCCACTAGTGGAGGAGATCGCGGGACAAGTGTGGAGAATGCGAGGACTTATGTTAACAATTTGATACAACATGTGAAGAATGGATCTCCAAGAAGGCCAGGGAAAGCTATAGAGACTTACATATTCGCCATGTTCAATGAGAATGATAAGACTCCTGAGTATGAGAAGTACTGGGGGCTGTTTCTTCCTAATAAGCAGCCTCAGTATGAAGTTAATCTCAACTAATCTTCTCGGAGAGACATCTTGAAGAAGCAAGGGTTAGTAACTATGCAGTGATGCGTTAAATGGTATTTGTCTATTTTATGTAAGAGTATTAAAAATGTGTGAACTTGTTGTAATAATAAGGATTAATGAGCCTTAAGTATTGTCTTTCCTTCATCGGTTTCAGTACCGTAATGAGAGTTGTTTAAATATCTTCAATATATATACTGTACTCCACCCGTTTTTAATACTAAAGTGCCGTTCGGTTTTTAAAATTTGTTTTTTTACAAGTGTTATTTTATGTTTTCATTATACATATTTAATAAATTTATTAACAAAACAAACAAAAAACTAATATATAAAACTGGGGATAGCATACAATTTATTAATTTTCAATGTGTTCACAATTTTAAACTACACTTAATATGAGATAATGAGATTGAGTGAGTATGAATTTGTTTGTTCACAGTAAAAAGAAAATTTAAAATATTAGCTGAAACATTTAGACATAACACAAGCCTAAGCAAAGCATTAACACGCGTCAACTTTCGTCGTCCAGAACTTAATCGACCCCTAGAAGGAATTTTTTTGACTATTAATTAGGATAACTACACACTGTTTCTACTACATAAGACATGCTCCTTCATAATTGTGATCTTTGATACTGAACTCAATCAGTTCTAAAGTAATATTTTATTTGTTTCATAATCTTTTGTACTAATTTTCTAGACTGTTATGAGGTAGCTAGACCGAGTATTGAGAACAAGAATATCATTAATATTTTCATAATTGAGAAGAATATTCATTAATACGACGAGGTTATTATATATTCCAGTATCCACTACCTTTTTATTTGCCAATGCATTTTATTTTCTACAATAATGTATTTATAAGTATCAAATGTCTAATTCACCCATTACAGAAACAAAAATCATTGATAATGAACCGAATGTTACGTAAACTTTAAACTTCTACTAGATTTTGATCTGCACTTGAGAAGTGCGAATTTTATTTTAGTTGTAACAAAATGTATTAAATGATTCTATTTTTATTATATAATAGTTTTATATGTGATATTTGATGTATATTTAACATTTTAGTAGGATCTTTTCATTGAGTTTTGTATAACCGAGTCAGTTTGTGATTGAACAAAGAATCAAAAAATTAAGTATTGTGAGAGTATGAAGAATTAAAACACATATTACATTTTGACCCACGCTTGGATGGCTCCATGGCCGACACACTGAAACACATATCAGCTTTTGACCTGCGATACTTATCCTGAGTTGATCTTTATGATCCACTAGCAGCAGACACACTGAAACGATCAATGTTCCTCCATACTCCAACATGAATATGTTTTGCCAATTCAAGAATGTATGTCTTGTTCCACGAGGCATGGATCTTAGTTCCTTATATAAAAAAAAAATTATCATTTAGGTTAAACTTATACAAAATGAAGATATCTAAATCACAAATCTATACAAAACGATAACTTACATTTGCATCACAAATGATTAGTTTCATGGTCTCCCCTATATCTTTCATGAAATGTCTCCATGTATGAAGGATTTTGACTTGGATGCGACATGTTGTCTTCCTCGGTTTTATATCGTTCAAGAAAGACAACTGCAAATTATTCGCCATTTTTTTTTTAGGTTTTTCAAGGAATAATGAATATAGTGGTTAAGAGAGACTATATTTATAATAGGTAGACTCGATATACATTTAGCTTACGCAAATGTAGGACATAATATTTAGAGGATTTTTAAAAATATCTCTTTCGAGGAATAAGGATTATTTTTTGAAGATTTTTTGAATTAGTTAGGAAGTTTAAAGTTTAATCGTTTATGGTAATCCAACTTCGGTAAGTTACCGAAATTTATGGAATCCAACCAAAGAATAACGAACCACGGTATTGATTGTGGTTAATCTATAAACTTGTGGATGAAGCAATTTATTTATTTTAGTAGGAAGATAATTATAGATAATAGTATTTTGCAATATTTTCTTAATAAAACGTATATCGTCCATTAAATGCCACCATGAGAGTGATGATATATCGACATATTTGATATCACTATATGTCGTCTAATTATAGTTTATAAATACGGGTAAATTTAGTGAGACATGAAAACATATTTCATATACGAAGAAAAAACATGAAATGAAGGACATTTTGATGGATTCTCCATTCTTGAAGGACATTTTGATGGATTCTCCATTCTCAAATGTTTTAAAATGGAGAAAAATATGAAATGAAGGACATTTGGATGGATTCTCTATTTTCAAATGTCTTTAAATGGTTTTGAGGTATGAAATAAATGGCAGAAGTAGTGAGACATTAAAAAATGTTTGATATAAGAAGAGAACTCATGAAAATGTCGATATAGACAATATATTATATAATACATTAACAAATGTCTACAACTATAACAAAATCTTAGTATATGTAATATAAAGTGTAATATGAATTTATAAAGTATATTCTTTACAATATAAGGTGTAGTACAACTATATGAAAATCATAATATATGAAATATAACATCATATCATGGTTAGGGTAATATGAGTTTATAAAGTATAGTCTTTGAAATATAAGGTGCAGTACAACTATATTCAAATATTAATATATAAAATATAACATCATATCATTATTAGAGTAATATGAGTTTATAAAGTCGATATATGATGCATATACCAAAAAATGTCAACCAAAAAATTATAATGTAATATGTGAGATTGTTCCCATACGAATTTCAAAATTAAATATTAAAATCTTAATAAATTTTCCCTGTAAATTTTGAAGTTAACATATTTATATATTTTGTATAGTATATAATTTAACTTAAATGATATTGATATATATATATATATGTATATAATATGTGATATAAATCGTGTATATTGGTTAGAGTAATTAATGGTAAGAGAGATAATAAATCGGGTATATGTAATATGTGATATGATTTGTAACAAATCGATATATATATATATATATATATATATATATATAGATGTAAGCCCAAAAAATAAATTACCAAAATGTCATTAATGAGGATACCGGCAACTTATATCAGTCGATTTTTTCAAGGGTACCTTTAATTTTAATAGTATAGATTAACAAGAAATAAGGTTCCATTGTGATTTCAAGAACTATTAGTAACGAAAGCCATCTTACCATAATTGATGATGACTAGTTTGTCTAATGACAAAAAGATACAATTAATGGTCCACAATCGACGTGTGATTACCGATTTGTACCATGATTCCAAAATGCAAGTCGTCACCGCATTTAATCTTAGGTTGTATGCAGTGGCCAGTGGATGTGTAGAGATGGATAAATTTTTCAGAGAATTTTAGATATTTGATGTCTAAATTTTCTTTTATCTCTTCCATCATCTCTCATTTCCGAAAAGTGAAGAACCTCATGGGTGATGAGGACATTGTCCGAAATCGCTCTCCCGGAGACAAAAGCGGATTGATTTTTCAGAGAATTTTAGATATTTGATGTCTAAATTTTCTTTTATCTCTTCCATCATCTCTCATTTTCGAAAAGTGAAGAACCTCATGGGTGATGAGGACATTGTCCGAAATCGCTCTCCCGGAGATAAAAGCGGATTGATTTTCGGAAATGAGAGATGATAGAATCGCTACAACTTGGCTTCGTAGAGAGACATGGAGTGCGACGGTCCAGATCAATCCTGTATATATCACTAATTAAAACAAAAGTGAAAAAAACTCCTCACAAAATGTATGTATATTTATTTTATTTTGGTTCCATAACAACATTTTATCTACCAAAAGAAAACTGTACAAAAAGGACTAAAATTTTATTTAACAAAACGCCCAAAAAAAACTTAAAAGACCAAAAAAACTTTGCCAAAGGGTCCAAACAGTTTTGGCCTTAGTAGTGAGACATACATGTATAGTGAGACATTCATGAACGGTGATTTAATGTACAAAATTTCAAAACTAGTGAATGATATGACTCGATGACTTTGTTTCATTTCAATGACATACAAACTAGGTTGCATGGAAACTTTTTTCAATGTCTGTTTCCTGTTTCGGAAACGTTTCGGAATCGGAATCTCTTGGAAACTCGAGGAAACTCTTTGGAAACACGTTTCTTGAAAATTTCATTTTAGAAACACGATGGAAACTTGTGTTTCTGATTTGGAAACTCGCGTTTCTAATTTGGAAACTCGCGATTCTAATTAGAAACACAAAAATAACTATTTGAATTTTGATGTTAATGATTACATGTTTATTATTTTATATTTTAATATTATCTGTTGATATTTGTTATCTTTTTAGTATAATGATTTGATTTGGAATAAAGTCACTCTATACTTTTATCAAATGATAACATATGTTACTTTTCTAGTTATTGATTATAATTTTAATAAAATGTACAAAAAAGCTTACATGTTGATTAATCATATATATATATATATATATATATATATATATATATATTATAGACGTTTCTAAAACGTTTCCATTTCTATTTTTTATGAAAATCATGTTTCCACGTTTCGAAACGTTTCGTTTCCACGTATCCGTTTCCGATTCCATGCAACCTAGCATACAAATCATCCATTTTCATCATTATTTCTTGAAGATGTCAAGGAAATACTCTTACTGCATATATATTAATTATGTCACGTTTAGGACCGGCCATATATATATGTCAATTTTTGTTTGCGTTTACTACGTATTTTATAAGTTTTTTTTCCTTTTGAATGAAAAACTTACTTTTAGTAGATCATAAGTTTTTCTTTCTTTAAAGTTTAATTTTTCAAAATCATCTTGTAAAATAGAAATAGAATATTTTTAGTGGAAATCTTGTTTCAAAAAATTGATAAAGCGACTTCGGACGCAGGCCTCAGTATAAAAATCTCCAAGACTACATACATGAGCCTGAGGAGTATGAAAAGTACTGGGGCTGTTTTTTCCTGAAGAAGCAAGGGCCAGTAATTAAGCAGTGATGAGGTAAATGGTATTTGTCTATTTGAGTTTTT